ATGTCTTTAGGTGTGACATTAGATTGGAAATGAAACCCTCTTTAGTTAAGGAAATCTTTATTTTTGTGGAAATTTAGTAGGGGGTCTTATAATTATGAGACACCCTGTATAATGCTTTCTTTATAAAGATATGATTTTTAGATATTCTTACCTAATAGAAAAGTTAAAATGGCTGCTATCATGAATGAAACTGAAGATCAGATGCAGGCACCTGTTGATTCATAGTTATAGACAGTTAATCATACTATTTCAAGAATGATTATGATCAGTGTTAGGATTCATAGAATGATGCCAAGAGTAAGTACAGATATTTTCAAAAATTTTGATCCCCAGCTGTCCTCAAAATTCGCGACAGAACGAATCTATATTTCAATGTGGAAGTTCCATAATACGGCATTTAAAAGTTTGCTAAAAAAATCATTTAGTTTATTCTACCCACCGACGGTGTCATTGTTTCCAGGTCTATGGAAATACTACCTACAAACAGCTTCATAAGGTATTACTGAAGAATTCAATGAATACGCTGAGGTTTTTTTATTGAAGATTAGAGCCAACTTTTGGCTTTCTCTTTACTAGTATATTTACCTTTTGTTTCTTGATTTTGCTCTTCTATGGTATGCGTCTTCACCAAAATCAATATAGAGTGAAAATAAGAATGCAATTCATACAGAGAAACATGTATTTTATAGGCATGTTTAGATACTTCGTGTTTTTTTGATTATTCATTTTCATCTCATAAAAAATTTTCTGTTTCTGTTATTAAGACAACCTCAGGCAAAGTTAAATCAAGCTAATACAACTTTCCAGCTTGATTACTCATATTGTTCGTAGGAATAGTTGAAGCATTTTATATATACACATACTTTTCGTGTGCTTTGATATATATTCGTAGGGTTTTTCTTTAAAGATTTACTCATAGGCGGATATATGAGTAGTCAATTAGTTATTAAATTCTTGTTTTTTTGACAGAATTTTTAATCAAAATATTGACGCACTAGCATACACAACAATAATATTTGGTATCTTTATTCATGTATCTGATAGAAGGCGAGTGTCGATGTGGGTATGAGTTGGATGTGAATGTCTTCTCTTCTAATTCATACTCACCCTAACAGTCATATCCACACTCATCCACACCCTGTTCGTTAAGAATAAACATTTACAATATTTTTAAGATTTAAAACTCTTTTATAAGAGTTAACATAGATTCAATAATAAAAATAAAAAACAATTCATTTTTTATTCGGATAAAGATTTTATTATTATAACAATCACATTATGTTTAAAAATGAACATTTTTCCTGAATAGATGAATTTATGAAATAAATATCTCATTGAGTTCTTCGAAACTTTTGTATGCGACTATTATATCTATCCGAAACATATAAATTTAGTTCTGAATCAAATGCAATGTCACCAGGATAACTCAATTCAATACTACTATTGCCAAGTTGACCTGTACCTGCAATTGTAATACCCTGTATAGCATTTGGACAAAACATTTGTATTCGATGATTAGAAGTATCGGCAACATATAAGTTACCATATTTATCCATAGTTATACCTTCTGGATAAAACAATTGTGCTGCACTATTTCCAGGTCTTCCGGGTATACCAGCATAAATATTACGTGGTTCATAACTTCCAAGAACCCACTGTGTTATTGAGTGTGATTGTTCATTCGATATGTACAATATTTGATTTTGTTCATCGTAATATAAACCAGTTGGACCATTCAATTGATATGGATTGAGACCAGCACCATTGCCACCCTAAAGCAAATGATGAAGTTAAGTATATTGAAATGGTGTGTTTACTATTTTCATTCGATAAAGAAAAGTTCAATAAGATTATATCAATTGATCGCCATTTTCCCGAACCTACTTAATTCTCCTTATACTGCTCTTCTTTTTCATTGCCATTCGCTCCGACCGATGCAGAAATTTGTGGTAAACTTGAAAATTTTTGATATTATTAGAATTTATAAAAAAAATTTGATATTGAGGTACAAGCAACAGTAACCATCGATGAATTCTTTCATTATTCATTACAAATAAAAATAGTAGCTTACAGCTATGATTGTGCCAATCGATGTTTTTGGATCAAAAGAGAACGGCCATTTGGTAACGCGTTGGTTTTGATAATCACTAACTATTATATTTTTCTTGGAATCAAAGAAAACTGTACTTGGAAAACTAAATTCATTTAATGCTGAACCCTGACTACCATTTCCTGCGATTGTTTTCCCAAATTTAGCATCTTTTTCCCAATATTGAATTCGTTGATTACCCCAATCAGCAATAAAGATATTTTCATTTTCATCTGCAAATACATCTGCCGGGCCTGATAGCATATTTGCTGCTTTTCCACTGGTTCCATTTGACTGGCCAGCAGCTGTTTTTATAACACCATTTTGATACCGCTTTTGAATGCGACTATTGGACATATCTGCAACGTACAAAATTTGTGTTTTCAGTTCGATAAATATACCATCTGGAAGATTTAATTGATCTGGGCCTGAACCCAAACCATTGCCAATAATTGTCGTACCTCTTTTACTCCATTTAAGACCACCTGGACCTAGAAATTTAACAAAAATATTTCAGTTTACGTCTCTTTTGCAGATACCAAAGAATTTAACGTTTTGTATCTCCTACGCTAACACTATTCTTGCATTCATTAAATGTATGATATAAGAAGCTTTAATAAATCATACTAGCGTAAATGTTCAGCACAGATATATTATTGTCGATTTCAAAACAAATATTCAATTGCATTCATTGGACTCTACATAGTATTATTATGAGAAAGAGAACAGCATTGGAAAAGCTATGGGACATTTATCACTTCTTTCTATAATGGTACGATCCACTAATTGAGATCGAAATCAAAATGATCAAATTTCAACAAAATAGAAAGAATATTACAAAATGAAGGATCAGACTTGTTCATATTTAATTCGTATATTATTATCGACGTTTTGAGCATCTCACATGCTGACTTGATTCACACTGAAAGAAGTGTTAAAAGAAAATAGATTTGTTAATATTTTTCTATGTCAAATCTTCATCTATAACTAAATTGTCCCGATAAAATATAATTGTGGAAACATTGAGCATATTGCGCGATACATACATTCGCTTGATTCTTTATAAATAGCTTCGGCTAAAATAAAATCAAAGAAATTAAAGAAAAATTAATTCATAGTTTAAAAATTTTATCTTGTACTTACCATTATTCCCAATAATGACTCTAAAGGTGATAAAAATTGATCAATTATTTTCAATGTATGAATAAAAATCAATTAAGAAGATGGTCTCACAGACTATATTCGACTTGAAAATTATAAGAAACAGAAGAAAATTTTACGGGTTGTATTATAAATTTTATTTTAGATAGACACTTCATTTTAGACGAATTAACAGTAGCATAGATGATCAACACAATTTTTGACTAATCTGATCTACACAATCACCTTCCTTTTTAAATACTTACATAAATAGACACGTGAAATAATGTAACATCATTTTTTTTACTTTGTTCGTTATCTGTTTTAATAAAGAAAATAACGACTTTTTCAATTTCTTACACCTTGTAAATAGTAACTTTCTTTATCAGTGCATCATCATTTGTATGCTGTGTATGACAATATTAGACTATGATACATCAAAAACTGATATTTAAGTATGTCAATTGAGATTATTTAAAAAGAAAATACATACATTGGCATTAATAATAGTTCAGTGCAAAAACGAATGAATGAATTACGGATAGATATGAAGTGTAAGTCAAAAGAATATACAGCTACATCGACACCGTTAGCTTGCAGCGTATCAATAAAAATGAGGGTGGGTGTGGGTATGCGCATGTTTGTGGATGCTATGAGAGCAATGTTACATACTCTCGCACCCATACACTAGCACACACTTCCAAATCCATACCGAAGCGCACATGCATATCCACTCTCTCTTGGTTTACTAAGATTTGGATCATGTGCTTGAAAAGAAAATTGTGTATGCAGAAATATTTGCCCACAACAAAATAAGATTTAATTTTTCAGTTCTTAATCGTTCAATTCAAAGATAGCTCTGATTGTCTTATCTGTTGAGTATCATCCAGAGTCTTGGTAAAATGTCACAAGTTTACTCGTAAAATAATGTTCAGTACCATGACTGAGAACAAATGATATCTTTCGCTCGTACACAACATTGTTCTGCACAATACGATTGTCGAAAAACATGTTCTTAAAGAAGTCAGGAAGGCGTTGCGAAGCGGGATGACTAAAATCTTATTTGGCGGTGATATATGTTCACGAAAACTCGATCCACGGATTTATTCTTCTTGAGTGAAGACGCACTTGTCATTGTTGACTAAAATGTAGTAACCTTGGTAGTGATAGTATGTGATGGTTGCAAGGCGACGAACTGTTGTGATTCGAATATATCTCGCAATGACTATGAATGCTTAACCAATCAAGATCTTAGTATCGAGAAATACAAGAATTGAAGTTTTCATTCCATAGTAAGGGCAATTCTAGCCATACTATTTCAATATTTACCTAATGTAGTATAAAAAATTGGATAGAGCAGATGAAAATAGTCAGCGTAAATACTAAATTTGATTTTAGAGAGAAAAAGTCGGGCGCTCCATCGTTATCGTCGATAAGATAGAGAATCGAAGAACTAATTAGATGAATGTTTGTGTTCTCGATTTTGCTACGAAAAGCAAATTAAAACAAATAAAAATGACATTTTATACAAGGACAGGAAGATACATGAGACAACTGACTTATATGCATGCAAAGACACAACGGATTGAATTATGTAGTTCTGTTCTATCTTCTCGGCGAAAAGAGAAGAAGAAAGAAGAAAGAGAACATAAATATCTATATGATACGAGAGAGAAACAAGAAAACAGAATAATGACATATCCTGATCAGCACATAAAATCTGAGTCATCGTTTTTCATCTCAATACTTGATGACTTGAATCATGTTGGGACCACAGCTGATATAAACACGAAACATAAAGAATAAAGGTGTTTTCCGTGAAACATTTTTTGCGTCTAATCGCACTTACAAACTAAACTGCGTCCAGATACGATCCAAAGAAAATTAAAAAAGATTCTAAAAAATTGTAGTTATCGATATCATACTGAACAAGTGAACTAGTGACTAAATATCATTCATACACACCACTAAGCTATTTTGACTCGAAATTTTTTCTTCTTCAAAGTAAAATACATTTTAACTCAAACTTCGTCTTTTGAGTTTTTTAGTGCAACAATCCTTACTTTTGTGTGAACACAAAATACTCAACCAAGGCTACCACATGGGTTAATTTAGGTTTAGCCTATCGAGCTGCAGGTGATTTGAACATTGCACTTCAACATGCGTAACAAGGTCTGAGTATTCGACGTGCCAAATTACATCCAAAACACGAAGATCTCGTGGAAACAGAAAATTTTGTCGTTCAACTCGAGAAGGAAATTCTTGCTCTTCATCCGATACAAATGAGATCATAAACTCATGTTTTTGGGAACTTTCGCATTAGACGACTAGGATGAAGGTTTTGTTATGGGTGTGGAAGCAGTGTTTAACTTTCTGAAAAAGGAAATTTCCAAAATTTTCACCAACGTTCCAAGTAAAAATATCAATAAAATTCGATGAGAATAAGACGTTCTGCCCCACCCTCCCCCAGAATCATCAGAAATTACCGAAACTAATAGTAAATATCGGTACTTGCGGAAATTTCTATAAAGCTTAATACTGAACATATTAAACTATAACATTGGAAAGATAAGACCCGACCCTTCAGAATCACGAAACATAAAGGAAATTTCATGTATTTTGGTAATTTCCTTAATTGCTCGTGATTCTAAAGGGTCGGGTCTTATATTTTCAATGTTATAGTTTAATATGTTCAGAATTTCATCTATATAGAAATTCTTTTAATTTCATAGTAATTTTGATGATGAGTATTATTGAATCATCGGCTGATTTGTTGACGTTGTTGTATGTAGTGGGAAATTTTGGTAAATATGAAAATTTACTTTTTCGGAAATCTTAACATACATCAGGTGTGGTATGGGTGTGGGTGTTAACTTAGGTATCCTTCTTCTTTATTATCCGAGAATCACAACTATATATATATATATAATGATTAACACGACGTGTTGGAAATATCCACGCAAGATATAAGTAAAATCCTAGTGAGTGCTAACATTAGAAAATACTAAACGAATGTGAATATAGGAAAACACCTAGCTATAGAACAGAAAGAGAAAGCTACGTATGTATATGACAAAAGAGATGACACACATATACGATGAACAGAAAGAAAGGAAAAAACACTTTATATCACCACCTAACATGGGTGAGACTACAAATTGAAAGAAGAGGCACCCACATACTCATGTCGCACGTTTCTTCTCAATACCGCCGGTATACCGTGGTAGTCCTAAGAACTGACTGTGTACCGTCACTAGCACTCTCAGGTTCCGGTTTCAGATATGAGTAATTGCAGAGAGCATCTCCTAATTAAATCTGAATTGATTAAAGAAAGTAACTCAAAATTATGGAGAAAAAAAATATTTTTACAATTTTTTTCAGCAATAATAATTTTTTGTAGCGTCATCTAAAATGAAAAATTGATCTCAGCACTAGGACCAATTTGGGCTCTGTAGCTAGCACAGGCGGCTCAGGCGTATCAACATTATCTGAGAACATTGACTTTCACGAAATTCTATCGGTTTTATCAGACTTAAAAAATATTCAGCCGTTTCGATACGCTACAACACGATACACTATTTTCAGAAAAAACTGGCGATATACCGGCAGCAAAGTGCACATTATATCGAACGGTATACCGCCGGTCTATCGGCGGCTTTTTTCCCAGTTCGAATTACATGAGTACCCACCCTATATCGAGCTTTAATATTCTAATAGAATAGAGAATGATACTGCAGATATTAATCAGCATCGTATCTATGATATAGCGCTTATCTTTGTTTTGCTGGATTTTTATGCCATCTACGTAGTTCTACTTTCAGCAGTGTATAACTTACATATGCTGTGGTTACAATCGAAATGGGAAGAAATAGTAATAAGATGATTTCATTTTGGTCATAAACGTTTCTAAAGCTCTCAGTGTTTTCAACTCTTTTATATATTAATTGTTATAAACAGCGTCAAAAATGTTGTTGACAGTACATATCCAACTAGAAGTAGTTATGAACGATTCAATCAGACATGCGGAAGGAATACTTAAACTATCGAACGCCCAATAAACAAGCAGGGTATCTCTGTTGGTAACAAACCAAAAATAAGAGGAAGAGAAATATCGTATTTTGCTTGTATACTAATGAACTATCATTTTTGATGTGATATCAAAGCAATCTGAACAATTATTAAGACTATACTATACGATTTTCTATTGACAGTACTATTATTCGCTTTTCCTCATTTATGTACACATTTTTGGCGTGAATGAATCACTGATCAATTGCAAAAATGACTTTGCTATTGAAAATTTAGCTAGAGACATTAAAATTTGCTTCAATTATGTGGTATTGCTATCAAATACTTATTTGAAATATGATCAAAACTTTGTTTGAATGTGTTTAGAATATAGCGTGTACAGTCTTGAAAACACATAATGTAAAAAATGTACGAATTGCAATTAGTTCCATGAAGTTACTAGATAAGGTAATGCATGAATCATTTCTTTATAATCTAGCTAAAAGTTTACTTGATTTTATTTCCGATAAATTATCGGTAAATGATTTTATTTTTCGTTAGGAAATAGATACATGCAATAATCCCACATATTCTTATCAAGATGTTTCTATTAACACTTGACGGTGTGGGCGTGAATTGTGGGTGAATAGAAAACCCACACATCAAATGTATGTCACTCTATATTCTCGTAAACAATACTTTACAGATTTTTCTAAAGGAATATCTATAATCGCTTTTTAAACATCTTTTATATTCTATTGTACACCATCATCAGAACTATTTCTAGAAGCAAAAACAGTGATTCAATCACAACCACATCATTGATTCCATATATTTTAATGTCTAGTGTATAGAAGGAAATTGTTTAATTTTGAAGGAATTTTAGAAGAACTATTCTCTATATGATAACTCTTTAATGTGAAAAATTGACTAATAAATTTTTCTTTCGTGACAAGCATAATAAGAAGTTCATGTACAAAGTTTGTGATGGATGTCTC